GCCCCAACGCGACAAACTACCACGCGCTCTGGCCGACATGTATCGTTTCCCGTTCGTTTCGTGTCTCAGACACTGGTGGGGGAGTAGCTGTGGCCGCCAGCGCCAGAGATCCTGAACACTGTCTGGCAACACTTGCCAAGATCACGAACTCTGTCTGGCAACACTTGCCAACAAGAGTGGCTGGCAACGTAAAAAAAGAAAAGGCGCGAAAGTTCGTTGGATTTTGTCCGGGTGTTGCCCGAGGATGTCTGTGACAGTTCTAACCTTTTCTAATAAAGTTCTTTTTTGTTACTGTTCGTGTTTGCCTGCTTAATGTTAGATCTAAACATCAGTAGGATTGAATGACAAAGATCAAACGAAACGTTTTTTTATATGTATAATTTCTAAAGAATTTAATATATAATTTGAAAATTAAGTAACCGTATGAAATTTCATAATTTTTTAAATCAAAATTTACATATATTTCGAAATAGTTAACGGTTAAAAATATTTTGCGGATGACTTTGTTTGCATTTTAATATCTTCTTAATGTCCAGTGGAATAATTCGGGAGGAAACTCGGGTTTCTTTTTACTATACTGGCTATCTAAATTTTCTACTGGTATCTGAAAATAGTAGATAAATAAATCTATAGAAAGCACCAGAAATTCTTATAAATTTTATGTAAATGAAACCAATTTTTAAGATGGACTTACACGATATATGACGCAGCCTAATATCATTCGCATCAAAATCGAAAAGCAAAATATTCCTGATGTGATTCCAAATATCCAGTAGAAGAGATTCCAAGACATGAAGCCAATAACAGCAATTATTACACAAGCCAATGAAACTATTGAAGTAATTATAAACAAGAGTTCCGAAAACAGAATGCAATTTTTTAAAATTCTTCTACGTTTTTCGTAAATTCTTTCGGATATTAATCCTCGTGTCGGCTATTAAAATAATAGAAATAAGAATATAAATTATAGTTTTCTTCTTAAAAAAATAGCGACTTTTAAAAAGTTTTTTTAATCTTTATTTGCATTTCGAATTAGATAAAGACTTCTTTTAAGCAATGTTTTCTTGTAAAAACTAATTTTTGCGCTGGATTTAAACTTAATATTAAAGATGTTGAGGCCATAATAAAGAAAACACCTTTTTTGCCGAGAAATAAATATAATTTGCAAAAACAAACGTTTTCAGCCTAGTTAATAGGCCATCTTCAGGTCGAAAAAATGGAACGCAAATGTTCCATAAATAGAACATAAAAATATTTAAATCAAAAAATTTTACAAGTAAAAAATAACGGAAGAATAAATAAACAAATAAATAAATTAATTAATTAAAACAGAAATNTACACGTTTTTGCGATGAAAACTTCGGCCGCAACCTCTCTAATAATAAATTATCATTTGATTGAATATAGGAGCATCTGTTCAATGATTAAAGCATTCAACCATTAGACTATGTAGCTTTGGTTCGTACAACGAATCCAATTACTTCGTACTGACCAATTGAAGTACAGATGTATCAACAAGTTCAATCAAGTACAGTAGAAGCTCGATAATTCGTCACGTCCGTGACCGGAGGTGAGAAATTATAAAAAATTCTAGGAACAATAATTAAAACACATTTTGAAATACTTTTGTACTTTAAATTAAAACTATACATAACTTATAACTTACTATTTACAAAACATGTCATCAGAGCTAATAACGTAACTTTAAAAAATACCCTACATACTTTAAATCTTGCCAGAATGTTAAAAAAATTGTTCTTTTGTCTTTATATGTGTGTACATATTACATTTTAAAAAATCCAGCAAAGAGTTGCTTAACTTTCCCCGACAACATTTGGTGGCGCCATCTGCTGATATTTTATTTTTAAAAACTTTTTTATATTTTTAACTATTGTAAAATAGAAAAAAAGCTTAATTTTGAGGGTTAGGATGGGTTTTATTTTAAAAAATATTGTAAATGCTAATAACGAGTAAAATCGTCATTAAGTTTGACCGTACTGGAGATACACACGACCCCTTTTATTTCCACACCGCTCGAGCTTTAATCACTAAAATTTAAAAGCATCAATCCCCTAATGAAAACAAACCTACCTGCAAAATTTCAGAAATTTTCCACAAAAAGCACAGGAGTTATTAAGACACGATTTCACCCGAACAACAAAACAAGCTTGTAAAAATTTCTTAATACATCTATGCATTTATTTTGGCCGAAATAATCAACAGATTTTTCCATTAAAATTGTTTTAGAGGTCTTGATTTCTTAGCTTTTCCAACCACTATTAATGGAGGTTTATGATTTCAGCTTGCATTTGAACAAACCATAATCGTCAGTCTTTCTTTCATCATTTTATATCCTGGAGCCAAAGTTTCTGAACCACACGCTGAAGTTATCGGTGGTAAAGCAATCCGATACAGATCGCTTTTATCACAGTTATACACTTGTGAGCCGAGAGATTACCTTTCATTTAGAACATATGCTAACGTATCCAAGATCGAGAATGCAATGGGTGCTGCTTATGTTACTTATTCAAACCTATTCTATTTAAACCTAAATTTGAAATCGGAGAGATCAATTTTTTGCAATAATTTTTAATACATTCGCTATCATCACTCGTAACTTCTCCTTGAATAGACAGCTGCCGAAACCCGTGTTCCTTCTTAAATTTTCCCAGCCATCTCGCCTAAAGTTCGTTATTGTATGAACCATAAGTAAATAGCTTCATCTAAATCTGTGTTTGTCGGTAGAATAAGCCTAATAAGTTTACTTACGTCACCATAGGTAAGTTCCATTCTTGATTTTCGATTTTGTCTCCATTCTTTTTTAAGTCGTTTGAAAATGTTACAGAGTTGGCTGGCTCTTTCTCCTTTTCTAAGACGCTGTAGAATTTCGAATTTCAATGGTAGATCAGTAGATTGGCGATTAGACGGTCCTTTTAAAGCCATTACAGAATATATAATTCACTTTTAATTAATCCGAATACAGTACGTAAAATGAGAACCAAAACTTTGAACTGTAAACGCAATGAAAACACACTAAATACAGCAATTAACGAGAACTGGCTATTACACATTACGTGTGAAATAGGGTTCAGTGTCTAAAAATAAAACCTTTTCGAGGTGACAAATTGCAGAACATGACGAATTATCGAGTTTCTACTATAGTATATTTTCACTCTTTCCGCTCTGTGGAAACTAAGAGGTACTTTTTTCCATATCCATCATGGGTTCAGTCGAGCCCATTAGTAATAGAAACTTGATAATTAGAAATAAATCATGATATAAAAAGTTTATGGGTAAGGCAAATTTAACATACGAGCAATTTACCAATAAAAGCTTTATAATTATACTATTTATTATGAATAAATCTGTAACAACTCCATAAATTTGGTCTAAAATCAAAATTATTTTTAAAAAATTCTTGTTATTCTTATGACATTTTGCAATTCGAATTTATTTAAAATGAGATTAACGATTATAGAACGTAAGAGTTAAAGAGTTAAACACAATGTCTTGTCTATTCAAAGAGACGATCAGGAAGATTAAAAATGTTGATTCGTATTTACTAATTCGCTCTATAATTTACAGAAATACGGAGCACGAGATAATTTTCTACAAAAGAATTCACTTTCAAAGATTAATCTCCAGCTTCAACTCTGATTAATCGCATCATCAAGGCAATGGCTTCAATTATGCACTTTACAAAAGGGTCTGATCTACTCTACATGACTTTTTTTTCTTTAAAACTCTCCGCCCCGTGAGCACTAAAGAGGACCTCTTTTAGCAAGCCCATTTTGGATTTGGCCCGGCCCACAAGGGCGGCAAGGACATATCCGGACGGACCACCACCGAAAAAATCCTGGGGATTTTTCGAGCCGTTCGGATTCGATCCCGGGTTCCCTTGACCACTTGGCCATCCGGCTGTCCCTCTACATGGCGTGGGACATCAGTTTGGTTCATGTAAATACATCAATATAATTCATTTTAATGATTTATTTATTTATATTCGTTCAATAATGCAATATAGCATGAGATAAATACCCCAATAATACAATTAATACGCCCATAAGAAACGATATGCAAATTATGATGTCTGAATGATATCTGATAAATCCTTATTCAGAATAATTAAAACCCGTAAAAATTCTAATTTTAATCATAATCTACCAACAAAAAGTAAATTTATTTAACAATTTAACAATTACCTCTTCTTGTATATGCTGGTTTTCAATCATAACTAGAAATATCAACGAGTGGTTTGCAACTAAAAATATCAACGAGAATTTTTAAATTCGAACATTTTATATGTTTAAAATTTAGAATTTTTTCTGTCTTTCACACGTCTATAAATTTATAAAACATTATAAACAATATTCGTGGATAATAATAATAATAATAAAAATTATAATTAAAAATTACCACCGGAAATATTCTTTATAACAGTTAATGAACAACCAATTATTGCAGAGACAATAAGATTTTTCCCATAAACGTATGAATTCTAATACAGGTAAACCACCGAATTTCAGGCAACTCCTNCCCCTATAACACTGTTGATAATTCCGTTTTATATGAATTCCGTGTTGTACGAGTCACTTAGATTTTACAAATACGTGTGCCGGGCTGTGAACGGCTCACGTATTTGTAAAATTTAAGTGACTCGTACAACACGGAATTCATATAAAACGGAATTATCAACAGTGTTGTAGGAGAGTCGACTGTAATTTGGACTATTTCATTATATTAATATCACAAAAATATGGCTATAAGTAATATATATATATATACATATACAAACACATACAGTTTATACAGTTTTTTTTTTACTCAATACAGGGGTGTAAGTGCCACATTTACCTCCTCTCTGGCCAAATTTTATTTAAAATTGTACTGTAAATACATACATACAATTAAATACATACATATTATTTTCATTTTTTTCATATACTAGCATGTAATTTTCATACATATAATGTATTACTCATTTAAAGTAAGCTGTCACATCAACACAGAATTTGTTAAAAATCTTAAAAATAACAAAAAAAAAAGTCTTTTAAAATAGAATTAAATTTGCTAAATTGAAAGCATTTTTAAAGGGCAAAATTACAAGGGGAAATTTTATTTTCCTGAAGACACCACACTAGTTTACTGAGAGACCACAGATGGTGTTTAGGGCGCACTTATTTACATTATTTACACTGTACTTGTTGGTGGTGATACCACAATTTTGAGATATTTTTAGTTCGTTTTGCTTAAATTTAACCATAGCTATGGCTTCTAAGAGAGATGAGAGTGTCTGTAGGGGTGTCGAACGTAAACACCAATCCATATCGATCCAAGTTTCTAGTAGTCCGTAGTGTTTAGGCACGTGAGAGGTATATAATTAATGGGTTAAAGGTATGTTGATGAATTATTATTAGTATTATACGTAACCTGTGTTGTCCGGCAAGGTTTTGGAATCAAGGATGCCGGAAATTTCATAATGTATCTGTACCTGCCTAGCTATCTTGTACCTAGCTTTGTACTCCATTGTGGCTTAACCAGTGGAAGACACGATAAAAGACTTCAATTTTCTCAGAAGAGAGTTTCAAACTACTGCAAATTAATTACTCAGTACACAGATACAGTTCTAATTGTGATTACATTCTCCATTCTTAATGTGTGCTGTCTTACCCCAATGTTAAGATGGAATAATCACTGCAAACTTAATGCCAATTATACAGACCATGCCTTAGAATATCACAAATAAACACAAATTCAAAACAGCGCCAATAATTTAAAACAACACAGTATTAATTTGAGTAATCAATGCTCCTAACACAAACCCCCCTGCATAACTATTGCTTAAATAAGACCCGATAACCAGTTTTAAACAGAACCGATTTATAGATAATTGTCAAGAAAGCAAGGAGGAAAAGGCAATTCGTTTTCTTGGTTGAAAAGATTTGCCTTCGATTATAAACCAACTTAAAAATAACATAAAAAAGATATAGTCAGAGAAGATGGCCACAGATGAAAGAAATCAAGATAACTTCACCTTTCATTACTTGCTACATTAGTCATTGCGGCTAAAGAGTAGTTTACTTATAATAGTAGTATGAATAGTGTAATGAAAGAAATTGCTAGTCGAAAGGAATCAAGAATGGTATTAAGAAGAGCCCCTAATTTGTATAAGATCTTGAGAAATGATAAGGATAGTATCAAAGTGGAAGAAAAAGCAGGGGTGTATAAGATTCCTTATGAAAACCTACAACTGGATGTTAATTAATCCGAATACAGTACGTAAAATGAGAACCAAAACTTTGAACTGTAAACGCAATGAAAACACACTAAATACAGCAATTAACGAGAACTGGCTATTACACATTACGTGTGAAATAGGGTTCAGTGTCTAAAAATAAAACCTTTTCGAGGTGACAAATTGCAGAACATGACGAATTATCGAGTTTCTACTATAGTATATTTTCACTCTTTCCGCTCTGTGGAAACTAAGAGGTACTTTTTTCCATATCCATCATGGGTTCAGTCGAGCCCATTAGTAATAGAAACTTGATAATTAGAAATAAATCATGATATAAAAAGTTTATGGGTAAGGCAAATTTAACATACGAGCAATTTACCAATAAAAGCTTTATAATTATACTATTTATTATGAATAAATCTGTAACAACTCCATAAATTTGGTCTAAAATCAAAATTATTTTTAAAAAATTCTTGTTATTCTTATGACATTTTGCAATTCGAATTTATTTAAAATGAGATTAACGATTATAGAACGTAAGAGTTAAAGAGTTAAACACAATGTCTTGTCTATTCAAAGAGACGATCAGGAAGATTAAAAATGTTGATTCGTATTTACTAATTCGCTCTATAATTTACAGAAATACGGAGCACGAGATAATTTTCTACAAAAGAATTCACTTTCAAAGATTAATCTCCAGCTTCAACTCTGATTAATCGCATCATCAAGGCAATGGCTTCAATTATGCACTTTACAAAAGGGTCTGATCTACTCTACATGACTTTTTTTTCTTTAAAACTCTCCGCCCCGTGAGCACTAAAGAGGACCTCTTTTAGCAAGCCCATTTTGGATTTGGCCCGGCCCACAAGGGCGGCAAGGACATATCCGGACGGACCACCACCGAAAAAATCCTGGGGATTTTTCGAGCCGTTCGGATTCGATCCCGGGTTCCCTTGACCACTTGGCCATCCGGCTGTCCCTCTACATGGCGTGGGACATCAGTTTGGTTCATGTAAATACATCAATATAATTCATTTTAATGATTTATTTATTTATATTCGTTCAATAATGCAATATAGCATGAGATAAATACCCCAATAATACAATTAATACGCCCATAAGAAACGATATGCAAATTATGATGTCTGAATGATATCTGATAAATCCTTATTCAGAATAATTAAAACCCGTAAAAATTCTAATTTTAATCATAATCTACCAACAAAAAGTAAATTTATTTAACAATTTAACAATTACCTCTTCTTGTATATGCTGGTTTTCAATCATAACTAGAAATATCAACGAGTGGTTTGCAACTAAAAATATAAACGAGAATTTTTAAATTCGAACATTTTATATGTTTAAAATTTCGAATTTTTTCTGTCTTTCACACGTCTATAAATTTATAACACATTATAAACAATATTCGTGGATAATAATAATAATAATAAAAATTATAATTAAAAATTACCACCGGAAATATTCTTTATAACAGTTAATGAACAACCAATTATTGCAGAGACAATAAGATTTTTCCCATAAACGTATGAATTCTAATACAGGTAAACCACCGAATTTCAGGCAACTCCTTTAATCCGGGCAAAATTACAAGGGGAAATTTTATTTTCCTGAAGACACCACACTAGTTTACTGAGAGACCACAGATGGTGTTTAGGGCGCACTTATTTACATTATTTACACTGTACTTGTTGGTGGTGATACCACAATTTTGAGATATTTTTAGTTCGTTTTGCTTAAATTTAACCATAGCTATGGCTTCTAAGAGAGATGAGAGTGTCTGTAGGGGTGTCGAACGTAAACACCAATCCATATCGATCCAAGTTTCTAGTAGTCCGTAGTGTTTAGGCACGTGAGAGGTATATAATTAATGGGTTAAAGGTATGTTGATGAATTATTATTAGTATTATACGTAACCTGTGTTGTCCGGCAAGGTTTTGGAATCAAGGATGCCGGAAATTTCATAATGTATCTGTACCTGCCTAGCTATCTTGTACCTAGCTTTGTACTCCATTGTGGCTTAACCAGTGGAAGACACGATAAAAGACTTCAATTTTCTCAGAAGAGAGTTTCAAACTACTGCAAATTAATTACTCAGTACACAGATACAGTTCTAATTGTGATTACATTCTCCATTCTTA